TCTGTGTGCCCGTTGCATGCACCTTTATATGTCTCAGCAACTCAGTAAACCAGCGACCGCAATAAGAGCTACCAGCATCCATTGGCTCAGCTCAGAATACGCGCAGTATCCTTTGAGTAGCCTCCGTCTCAGAACAGCCAAATCTGCAGAAAACGGGCCCATCTAAGACGTAGCATATACGGACTGTGCCCGTGACCAAGACGTTGACACTGTAACCTAGAAAGCGTACTTTCTTTTAGCAATAAGTGTGCAAACAGCATCGTCGGTAAACGAGTAGCTCTTAAAAATTGAATGGTCATTCAATAATAAATGCGCGACTGTACGAAGGTCGTTTTAGAAGTTTGTGCAAAAGTGATTACTACTTCATTTTTTTTAATAAATCTTTTTTATTTTTCAACATAGTCTCTTTTTAGGCTTATACACTTTACCCACCGCTGCTCTAGTTTGTTGATCCCTTTCAAATAATAGAATTAGTCCAAGTCTGTAAAATATGCATTTGTTCCTGTAATCACCTTCTTTTTGAAATAAATCTTTTCCCCGCCAGTGATTTGTCCATATTATAAAACAAATAATAGTTCGACGGAGTCAAGTCAGGAGGATAGGGGGATGTGAAACGAGATGGAACAATATTTCCATCAGGTTTGTGGCCAAAACTGCTAAGGTGTGAGCTGGTGCGTTGTCGTGATGGAAGAGGACTTTTTTCCGGGTCAATCGTGGACATTTTTCTTGTAACTCGGTTTTCAAGTAATGCAATAACGATTAATAATATTCACCTGTAATGGTTTTACTCTTTTCTACACTTTTGATGTAGCTTATTCCTTGCGAATTGCAAAGGGTAGTCGCCAAAACTTTCCCGGCCGAAGGAATGGTCTTTGCCTTTTTTGATGCAGATTCCCCCTTGGCAACCCATTTTATAGACTATTCTTTAGCCTTAGAAGTGTATTGATGTTTCATACATAAAGAGTCAATGACGCTTAAAGCCCTGCGCATTCGCTGGAATAACTGCAAACCATTTCTGTAACAATCACACGATCTCATTTTTGGTCAATCGTGAGCAATTGCGGCATTGACTAAGAGATAGTTTTTTTATATCCACATAATAGTGCAAAATATTATGTACCTATTTGCTCGAGATATCTACAGCCCTAGATATCTCAAGCATTCTCACTCTTCTATCAACCATCACCATTTCTAAAATGGTAACCTCAACAAGGCATCCAAAATGTTCAGCGTCTTTTGTGCTCGTATAGCCACTTTGAAAATTGTAAAACGACTTATAAACCATTCTAATCCAAGGTGCACACTCATCCTATTGTTTATTAAGCTTCCGTTTAATCTCCTGAGGCGTTTTGTCTTTAAAAAAGTAATATTTAATCAACATACAAAACTTTTTGTTGTCAATCTTTTTACAACCACTTGATTTCTTTAATTGAAACAATGTGATATGTGCTCTTCTAAGATATACTACTAACTGAAAATAACCTTGATACGGACCAGTAGCGCCATCTGTCAGACTTTGCACGGATTTTTCAAATGACCCTCCTAAACTTATTGAGTCTTTGTTCTTTGATTTTTTTCGTTTTTTGAAATTAATAGCAGTGTAATAATTTGTATTCTTGTTGGTAATTCTTATAATCCTGTAAAATTTATCGTTTGTATTGGTTACTTAAATTTAGATAGCTTTTCCCACTCATGGCTGGAGTTTTTATGCTGGATGAGTACGGGCTTTATTTTGTTCTTTGCTCATTAAAATATAAGTTACAGTATGGTACGATAAGTCGTGAGAGTCAGACGTGTTTGTCGATTGCTTCGCACCGAGTCTCTAGTATTTACATATACGAGGTGTGTTCAAAAAGTAAGATGACTTTTCAAATTTCACGGGCAACATACTTTCGATTATCGATTTTGTTTTGTTATGTTGGTACACTCTTCCCGAACATCTGTACCAAGTTTCAAGTGTATAACATTTTTTGTTTGGTTGTGAGAGGCGTAAAGGTTATAAGTGTTTTGCGTGCTCGGCGATTTCTTGCTATCAAAAAATATGGATCAAAGGATTTGCATCAAATTTTGTGTAAAAAATAAAATAAAGTGCTCCGAAACACTTGAAATGTTGACGGTGGCATACGGTGAAACTGTTCTGAGTAAAAAAAATGTTTACTAGTAGTACAAGCTCTTCCAAGATGGCCGGGAAGATGCCAATGACGAGCCTCGCTCTGGACGCCCAAGCACGTCAACAACTGATGAAAACGTTCAAGCAGTGAAGAAAATTGTTCTGGAAAATCGTCGAATCACTATCAGAGAAGTTGCTGAGGATGTTGGTATATCGCTCGGCTCGTGCCATGAAATTTTTTCTAACGTTTTGGGCATGAGATGTGTGTCAGCGAAGTTTGTTCCGAAATTGCTAAATTTTGACCAAAAGAACCGTCGTATGAGCATCGCTCAAGAACTGTTGAATGACATCAACGACGACCCAGATTTACTCAAAAGGGTCATAACTGGTGACGAATCATGGGTATATGGTTATGATATCGAAATCAAATTCCGATCGTCCCAATGAAAGAGCCCACATGATCCAAGACCGAAAAAAGCACGCCAAGTTCGATCAAATGTCAAAGTTTTGCTCACTGTTTTCTTCGATTACCATGGCGTGGTGCATCAGGAGTTCTTACCACATGGACGTACGGTCAATAAACAGTATTATCTTGAAGTTATGCGCCGTTTGCGAGAAGCAATACGAAGAAAACGCCCAGAATTGTGGAAAAACAATTCATGGCTTTTGCATCACGATAATGCCCCTGCTCACTCATCTTTGCTTGTGAGAGATTTTTTGGCCAAGAACAACACCACAATCATGCCTCAGCCATCATATTCACCGGATTTGGCCCCATGTGACTTTTTCTTGTTCCCAAAACTAAAGAGACCTATAAAAGAACGGAGATTTGCAACGATTGAAGAGATAAAGACTGCATCGCTGGAAGAGCTCAAGGCTATACCGAAAAGTGCTTATGAGAAGTGCTTTGAGGATTGGAAAAACCGTTGGCATAAGTGTATTGTATCTGAGGGGGATTACTTTGAACGGGACAACATAAATATTGATAAATAAATAAATATTTTTTCTTAAAAATACAAAGTCACCTTACTTTTTGAACACACCTCGTACACACCGTGTAGCGACCACGGAGAGTAGGCTTATAGACTTGCGTATACAATTCATTACGGCGAAATAATTATATATACAAAATGAGTACTAATATGAGGAATGGACAAGATAATAGTGCATTAATGAAAGTAATAAGCTCACAAAGTCCCAATTCGCAAAGCTCAAGCAGAAAAGTGAACTCTTTCTCTAAAATTGTTAGTAACCGTATGTTTCTTAAAAAAAATCAAGTATTACTGATCGATACAGTAGATGGAATTGACCTGAAAACGTACATCACAGCAATAGAGACTAAAACGGCACCAACGAACATAATCGCTGCATCAAAAATTTCATAGAACAGATTTTGTTGCTACCTTAATAGTGAAAAACTAGTGAATGAGCTAACTAGAGAAGGCAATAATGAAATAGTCATCAGCAGTCACAAACTTAATATGAGACCTTACGTTACAAAGGCAAAAAGAGTAATATTCTCGAACATTCATCCTTGCATACCATACGACGAAATTACTGGATTGATTAGATAAGCAATGCACTCGTATGTTTCAAGCTACTTAGCGGGGGGTTCAGGTGGCTTGAAGCATATATAAGTGTATGCGCATGAGCGCGCGCGCTACGCACGCATCGTGGATGGTCATAGAGTGGGTGGTGCCTCCCAATGACCCTCCAGAGTGGTTCCTTGACCTAGTCGTGACCCCCAGAACCCCCCCCCCCCATCAGTAAATAATATAATAATAAATATTATTACATAGACTGTCAAGGTAGATTTCTTCTATAGAAGTTGTAAAGGTAGGACGCTGTAGAAGTTGATAGGGCGCTTGGTAAGCTATATGCTAGCTAGGTGTGGGTCTTTTCAAAGAGGGGGGAAGCGTCTCTAGCTTGCTAAACTATATACTGGCCAGGTGTGGGCTCTCAGAGAAGGGATAGCATCTCTAGTTTGGTAAGCTATATGCTGATTAGGCCTGTGCACTGTATAGCGTGGATGCTGCTCTCTTTCTCTCGCTCTCCTTCGACAGTAGGGCGCACAGTAAGCATATGCTAGTTAGGTGTAGGCCCTCGGAGAGGAGGTAGCGTTTCTAGCTTGAGGTGCCCTCTCTCTCTCTCTCTCTCTCTCTCTCTCTCTCTCTCTCTCTCTCTCTCTCTAGCTTGATATGTATATGGAAGGAAGAATACTTTCTAGGGCTGCATCAAGCTTATATTGAAAGACAGAGTTCAGTGTCTCACCCGCACTCAGCTCATCAAGTAGTCTTTTCCTACGCTTCTCCGCCCACCCACTCTCCCACTTTATATTCTCCCACCTCCCTTAGATATATTTATTTGTAGTAAGTAGATAATGTAATTATTAGTAATTCTATCTCCATTTTGAACACTTGTCCTCGTAAATATATTCGAACAATACGATAGCTAACCTAGAAATGAGAACGTTGGAATTCAATATATACTATATGTAGTTAGATGTCTCTGCAGCCGCCACCCCACTTTTTCGTATAAGCTACTTCTTCCATAGGTCATAGCATTGCGTACACTAGTTCAGTATCGCTACAATCGCCTCCCCAATTTTACGACAGAAGCTATCTCCTCCATAGCTCACAACGCCGACGCCGCTGCGAACAGCACCACCGCCTGGCTTTAAAAGTTAGTCCACCCTAAGAAAGAGCACAGTCTGTTAAGACCGTCTGTTGATAGTTAAGAGTAGTCTCTATAGACTACTAGTAGTTAGAAAAAGTAGCTTAGAGACCCTGTATAATTTCTAAAGTATCTTAAAGACAACTATTAACTTACAAAGTAATTTACTGAGTATTTCAATAAGAATCTTCAATTTCATACATTGAATGAACTGTAGAAGATCTGTGGTCGGACTATTATAAATCTCTTGACGAAGAAGTCGACGTAGATGATTTGATTCGATCAAAAAATTTAGCGAATTCTGCTTTCATTGTTCTTAATCGATATTTGAAGTTGAGTAATTTATCTCTAGCAATACTACAAAGTGGTCAAACTTGTGCTATACACTTGATAGCCTTAGAAACGCAATTGAATAATTTCATAAAAATCGGTGGAACTATTCAGACATCACAATTAAATATAGATGAAATTCAAGGAGATGGTGTTGTTTTTTATTCTGCTTTTGAACATCGTATTAATACTGTAGTTCTAGCAAATCAGCATCATGTGGATATAAATACGTTTTTAAATGCAGCAAACAAACTTTTACAAAAGCAAATATCGAAGTTTCTAGTTATCCACAATGCATTGAAGATAACTATGGAATTTTCAGCTCAGTTTATTATTAAAAAGAATAATGTAAAAGATATTCAAATTTAATACTTTAACACTTAAAATCAATGCATTTATAAAAGTAGTGATCTAATTGAATGGTTTGAAAAAAATATTGAAGACGTTTTATCTAAGAATATTGAATAATTTCAAGAAAGAGAATCTAGTTGGTCATTAAAGACTATTGTTAGGCTTACAGTCAACATAAATAAACACAATCCACTTAAACCTTGCTCGTATATTCTAATACCTAAGGTCATAGACATGAGAAAAGTGTGTTTAATGTTAAGAATACCGACAATAAATATTTCAAATGGCCTATACTATCTTGTCTTCATCCTACTGATAGTTATAAAACCACAGTTATAGAACTAGTAATTATACACGCTTTGAAAAAGAATTGAAATTTGATGATATAATGTTTCTTGTAGAAATAAAAAATATTCCGAAATTTGAAAAGTTGAATGACATATCTATAAACGTATACATTCTTAAAAAATAAAGAAAAAAATTTGAAGAGTCACCATGTCATGTAACTAGTTCAAAGAAATCCAAACATGTTAATCTTCTTTCAATTTAAAAGGAGTATATTGATGAATATGATGATGATAAAAGCTAAAATATTCACGATGTAGAACCAATTTCCAAAGAGTTTCACTATGTTTGGATTAAAAATTTGTCTTCTCTTGTTAGAAGTCAAATAATCTCATATACTAAAAAAATCTATCTGTGTGAATGCTGCCTCCACTATTTTACCACTGAGGATCAATTAATAGTTCACGATATTGATTGTTCAAAAATTAATAAGTGTAGAATCAATCTACCTGATGATACAATTTTAAAATTCAAACATTCGAAACGTATAGAAGTGGATTCATATGTCATATATGCTGACGTAGAATGTTTGTTAAAACCAGTCGACAATAGTCGTGCTTTTCAAGAACATGAAGCTTTTAGCGTTGGATTATATATAAAATGTAGATATGATGATAGTAAGTCAGAGTATAAGTCTTATAGAAAACAAATAATTGGAGAAGAGACGCTTGTTCAATGGCTTATGAAACAAATAAAAATATTATTAGCTTAGTTAGAAGAAGTTGTGACGGAGAATCTCGGCTAGGCCGATCTCGTCCGTTAGCTCTCGCAAATGTCCGTGCGCCGCGCCAGGCTGAGAGTGTGTACGTTTGGCACACACACTCACGCTTGGACCTTTTGTTTGCGAGGTGCTGAACACGGGCTGAGCTGACGACTGGAGCGACGCAGGTGGCGCAGAAGAAGAGAGAAAGAGAGAGAGAGAGAGAGAGAGCGCTCGAATTGCGGATCGCCGCAGAAAATTCGAGGAGTCTCTGCTAGGCAATGGGCAGAGAAAGTCACGCGCGCGGATAAACCGGAAGGTCACGGTTTTCTCCGAGTTGGCCTCGCGACCTCGCCGACGTTTTGTTCATTCCGGAGACACGCCCAGTGCGCGGACGAGTGATAGAGCGTGAGGCTGGGTCGCGCCCAGCCGTGTCCCACAAGATACCCGGCACCGGTGCGTGCGGGGTTACCGGCGAGGTGCGCGGGCGAGCGCGCGAGGAACTTGACGAGTTGTAGCGCCGAGCGACGAGGAGGCGGCAGAAACAACGATCAGCGAGCGGGTTGAGATCGAGGCAGCAATATTGCGGAGCGAGCAAGAGGACGAGCCAGAGGACAGATAGCGACGACAACAAATGTACCAGCGATACGGTCGGGAGCACACCAGTGACGTCACAGTGCAGAGCGCTCCAGCCGTCGGAGAGGCTGAAGGTCGAGGTCGGTGCCGTATTTTCCTCTTATCTCTCTCTCTTGCATGTTTGGGCGCCAGCTTATAGGTGGTAGCACGGCAGACCTGCTGGCTATCCCGTTGGTAGTTTAACGGCGGAAAGTAGTTTGTCGGGCTTTTGTTATAATATTTAGTTTTAATAAGGGAATCGGCAGGCTGACCAGCCACCGATTCACCTTAACGTTCGCGCTTGTTATTGTACCGCTCGTAGTGTGTAAGTCCGAGATCGCTGTCTTGTAACTCATTGTTGACGATTAAAGGATTAGTGTTAATCCGCTGTTGTGTTTATTCGCCGCTGTATCACTCCTCATCCCGACTTCGAATCTGTGCGTTTAACGTGTTTATGCTCGACGCGTTATTCAGTCGTGGGAACGTCTTTTGCTTCCCGAATCCCCGAATAAATAATTTGTGCGGACGGCCGCGAGCAACCCAGACGGGTACGGCCGGAATTCTCCGTTACATGGCATCCCTTGTGGGGAATTTCACGACGCGCATGAGATTGTGGACGAAGTTCGATTGAGGAGTGACAGTTGCTCGGACACGCGATTGAGTCGGATGATCGGGAGATTGTACGGTCGCGATTCGTATGCGTGGGCGCGGTATCGTCGTGAGGACGGGTCTCTCGCCTAGTGTGGTGGTGAACTCCAGGTGGTTGCCTGAGTGCAGGGGCACGTTGAGCTCGGACAGTTGTGTGGTGCGTATTTCAGTCGAAGACGGTTAGACCGGGCGCGTACGCCGTGAGTGCGCAGGGGGGGGGGGCTGAGTAAATAACAGCCGGCGCTAGGGTGTACGCAAGCGGCTCAAGCTCGTGCGCAGTAGAGCTTTGGCCTGGTTGTCGACTGAGACGTGGTATTGCGGTGCGTGGTGACTGGGCATTACTGTACAGGGCCGAGCGGGTACTACTGGAGTCAGAGGAAGGCCCATCGTGCGGGGTAATAGTTTATAGGATTTTTAGGCTGTCTTTAGAGGTCTGTGGTTTGTTTGACGCGTTGAGTCCCCCAAAAGACAAATCAAGATGCCGAAAAATCCGAGGAAGCCGGAGCTTTTTATACGGCACCTGTCGAGGCAGCCGGAGCTTCAGCATTTACGGGCACGTATCCTGAAGATGCCGTCACAACAGTTGGCCGAGGTGATGCTCCAGGAGGGCTTGAGTACGGAAGGGAAGCTAGTCGTTCTACAGGATCGCTTTTTCCGCACGTTCGTGATGAAGTCGCGACCTGAGACCGGCGCTCCCCTGTACCCCGAGGACTTCTTGTCTGGTCGGTTGCCGGAGCCCATCCACGTTGACGACGAGGATATGGGGGCGGATCTGAGCTTGCCCAACGTACTGGAGCAGGCGTTAACGCGCGAGACTCACTCGGACCCTTTGAGAGGTGATGAACTCTCCTTGTTCCGTCCTCCAAGGTGTAAGGGGATGGAGCACTCGATTCCGATCTCAGGGTCGGCTGACCCATCCGACATTGCGCAGCGGACCTTCGTCGAACAGGGCGCTGAACGCGAGTCGAACGCATCGGAGGTCGAGAGGAGAAACGAAACGTCCGTGTTTGCCTCGGTCATGCCGCGGAGTAATGCGGCGGATCCGGGTGTTGGGACTGGAGAAGCGGGACTGCCGAGCCCTATTTTGCCGCCGGCCATCGCGCAGTTGGACCCAGCAATGCTTGATCAGCTAGTGCTGGTTTTGCAGGCGTTCGGGTTCGGTGTAGGTGGTCGAGCTGTGGCAGGGAATATGGCTCCGGCGGCGCAGGTTCTCACGGTCCCAGTTGTCTCTCGAGTGTCGCCGGCGCGTGCGGGAACCGCATCGCAGCAGGGAATGAGTCGGCCCAGGCTACCCCAGCTCTCAGGTCCTGACAGACCTTTGCAGAAGCTGGGACGGGGGTCAATGGCTTCAGCGACGAGTGATAGGGAGCGCCGGCCGAGACCAGACAAAAATTTGAGTCCGCCGACGTCTTCACTGAATTCGTCTAGTGAGATGAGTTGGAGGCGACCACGTCGCAGGCGGAGACCAGGCAGGAGGCAACGAAACAGGTGCGTGAGCTCTGCAGAGTCGAGCGAGACGAGTGACGTCAGTCCCTCCAGCGAAGACGAGAGAACATGTGCTCGTTGCCAACGTCGGTCACACCGTGACAATCGAGCGAGATTGAGCTCCAGTGAGTGGCCCCCTCGAGGCGAGAGAAGACGTTTGAATGGGAGACGGGCTGATGCAGTGACTGCGTTCCGTACGTGGAACCTGAGATTCACAGGAACTTCAGGATCATCAGCTGAGCGTTTCTTGGAGAGGTTGGAGCGCTGTATACAAATGTACAGGCTCCCGGATCGCGAAGTGCTCCCAGCTCTGTATGCCATCTTTTCCGATCGCGCAGAGGTGTGGCTGTCCAACAAATTTGGAACGTGGCGCACGTTCCGAGAGTTCGCTTCCAATTTCCGTCATCATTATTGCCGAACACTGTCTAGGGAGGAATATTACGACGTGCTAGCTCGTCGAACGCAGGGTGAGGATGAATCGATAGGGGATTACCTGACTGCGTTCGAGAGCGTCGTAAGGCGAATGAGGCCCCCTCCGTCAGAAAGAAAACTGATTCGTTTGGCAAAGGCAGGATTGAACCCGGAGTACGGGAGGTACATTCGGGAGAAGACGGTCTGCACTCTGCGTGATATAGAATATTACGGAGAGAAGCTGGAGAAGCATCGTGAGTGTGAGAGGAGATGGCATCCTCCTTCTGCTAAGGACAACTTGCCGGTTGAGGACGCTGCTTATCGAGGAAAGGGCAAGAAGAGCCACGTGGCAGTCAGTGCCGTGGTTTCCCAAGGAGAGGTGTCTCCGGCGGGGAAGCCGAAGGCCAAGAAGAAGAAGCAAGGGAAGAGGAATGCTTCTGACACTGCCACGTCCGGACGTTCGTCGGGTAGCGACTCGGGAGTGTATCAGTGCGCGGCGAGCAGTTTTATGCAGCCCGTACCGACGCAATTATCCGGTCCTAGAACCGACAGAGACCAGGGAAGATCTGGCGGGGATATGCGGGTCGCTCAACGTCAGAATAGCCCAAGGAACGGGCGAGATAGAGCTGTTTTTCAGGGTCGATGCTATGGCTGCAATGGAGAAGGCCATAGGATCTCGGAGTGCTCTGGTTCTGATCGAGAACAGACTGGCCGGGCGCAGAGGAACTCAATTTGTTTCCGGTGTCGTCAACCGGGACATTATGTTTCGAGTTGTCCTCTGCGTCAATCGAAAGAGTCATGCCAGAACTGCCAG